GAGCGCATCTTCTTTGAGCACGAAGTCAAGTGCGATACCTATCCACCGGGATTTCTCGAGGAACCAAAAAGCGAGCTTGGAGAGCTCTTTGTCCGTCAGGATCAGCTTGTGTAGTGGCCGGGGGCCCGACCACGTAGACGCCCAGCGATCGAGTGATCGCGTCCTTCGCTTCTGTAGCGGGATCCGCCCAGCGCAGCCGTATTTCTCATGAGGGTCAAGGACCGACCGTGTATGTGCGCATGAGAGCCGCCCTACGGACAGCATCTAGCTGCTGCTTCTGTGCTTCGTCGAGGGGAAAGGGAATAACACCACTTCTCTCGGAAGTCGAGAGTCCGGGGAGCGGATACGGCGTCCGCAAAGTTTAGCATGGCTCACGCCGCGCCGTTGGGACACCTCGCCCTCTTCTTCATCCCGGGAAAGGAGTATCCGACTCGTAGTCAACTTCTTCCCAATCCTCGACGAGGTTATCTATCGCCCATGGCGGATGCGGTGTGGAGTGGGGAGTAGACATCGCGTCTATGTACTTGGTCGAGCGACCCCGTCGCTGACAATGCGCTGCGCGGTTCTCAGTTACCAAGAGCTTGAGCTGCGCTTTCCTTGAAGCCTGTGATGTAATGTTCGGAATTGCACCGCGTGCAAGAGACGAAGAAGGTCCTGCCCGCGGACGGCTCGGAGGGTGTCTTCGGTGTCATCGACACAAGGATCATTGAGCAGAGAATTCGTGACGAAGGTCCTGGTGATATTGTGATGTCTTTGACACGCGATCCTCGTTCGAGGCGACAATTGAATGTGAACTGTAAGTGTTCACATTCTTGATGGGGGGAGTGTAACAGGGTTTCACGTGCCCTGGTGTAAAGGCTGTGGGTCACACAAGATGGTGCGATCTCGCAATCGTGTGGCTAACACATTATTATCTGACCAAGCTACACCTAAACAACAAGTCAGTACGTGGCTGGAATAGCCAGTAGCTGTAAATTCAATTAGGTTTTGCTATAAAGATAGGAAAGCCTTTAGATTTAGATACAAGCGGCTTTGCCGCAAATAAGACTGAGAAATACAGCTAACATTTTAAACGGAAGAGTTAATTCGCCTTGGGTTAAGGTTGTAGTTATTCTTGGAGTAAGCGATTGTGATCCGCTACACTCGTACTGTTTCTAAGTATAGAACAAACGTGACCGACCTTAACTAAGCTTTCTCTAAGCGAAAGAGCTACGGCAGCCCGCTGCACGATATGTTCAGAAAATGGGAATGTCAACCACTGATCCTCCGCAAATGTTTGATCAGATAAAACCAGTGATCTACGTTATGAAGGGTATCCTCTGGAGCGCTTTCACGTAGAGACCGCGGTGCTGAAGCGAGATGTTCCCTCTGGAGCGCTTTCACGTAGAGACCGCGGTGCTGAAGCGAGATGTTCCCTCTGGTTGTATTTGTGCTTAATAACAAAGTGAATGCGTCCACAAGCTTTAACACATTTTACATGATTAGCTTGGTAAGCCCTTAAGTGGATTTGACACCGCCACGAAGTGGATCCGGCCATCGTGGGAAAGGGCTGTTGATTGAAATCGTCCATATGATATCAGCTCTGCTACATCTTGGGGTAAACTCACTGACCTTATGACAATGTGTTCAAGCATCATGGATAAGATGCGAGACGCGGTATCTGATAGCCAAGATTAACCAAAGTAATAGGCAATTGTCAGAGATACGCCCGACGCACACAATTATGTTGTGGGCTTACAGCTTTGTTGAGCGCAATTATTCTACCTACACATGCGTTGTCTACTGTCTATAGGAACAAATCACGACAATGCCGCATCAGATCACCCACGGTTGTAGCAGAAAAGGGATTAAGAAATTTTAAAAATTAAAAAAATGCAAATGCGTCTAGTTGTATATCTGGGCTAACTGAAATAGTTTTACGATCCTGCTTTTACGTTCCTGCTTTTACGAGCCAGCTGGATGGGAATAGCTCTTTTGAATACGAAGCAAAGTCTTAACCATCCCTTGAAGCCAAGAAAACCTAGGCTTTAGAAGTACCAACGTTGTAATGAATTGCTTGGGGTGCCTCAAGCCAGACAGCGAAACTCACAGAGAGAATCCTAGATTTGGCTCATCTCAATATCGGACGGACGACGCGATGTTTGAAGAGAGTCGAGGGGTGTTTTACCCTAGAGAGATCAAGAGAGCCAGCCGAGTGTATGCACTGCTCCATAAGCAAGGGGTGGTCCTCTACCACGTGGAACACTTGGTACACCAGCGGAGACACCAATGTTATTAGATGAGAAAAAGGGTTACCCGCGGTCCGAATACTTGTTAGAGTTTGGGATTCCACTTTAACAATATTGTCCTGATGTAGCGGTAGATTATTTCTTGGAGCACGCTCGGACTCAAATTCTTGTAAAGAGGAGACAAAGTCGCCCGTTGCTGCGCGCTGTTCACTACTTGGAGGCAACTGACCTTGTGGTGAAAAAGACCGTTGGTCGGTGACTCTCATGTGACAAGCGCGGCTACAAAGGGTAAACGCTTGAGACGATGGGCTGCCGACTATATGTTTGCTCCATGCCTTGTGCTTGGCAAAGCCAAGATTTAGGCGGCGGTCTAGGTGAACGACTGTTTCGCTAGATGAAGCTTGGTATGGACTAAGTTTGCCGATACGATGTGTTTCTCTCAACCAGTGTGTGATCTGAGTCATAGATTCTCTAGTACTTTCATAGCTTCAATTACCACTCGTGGAGGCTACGAGCTTCCTCAACCGCTGCTACTCAGACGGCAGATGGTACATCTGGAGGGTGGATTCTTGTAATTTAGAAGGCGCTCGTGGGCTAGCTTACTAGTTCCTTATTTGCTCAACCGGTGAGCGTAAGGCCATCACGTAGAGGCGTGTAGAAGCACCGAATTAGCATCAACCAGTGACAAATATGAATGAGTGGTTCCCGCGTGATTTGAGTAACAGTTGTCGTGATTTTGCGCTAGGTATAAAGTAAGCTGTATTCATAGAGCAAAGTTTAATTCAATACTAACAAGCTATGGGCTCCACGGCGGGATTCCAATCAGTTCCCACTCGTGAAGAACAGTCCAGAGTCTGGCTCGCGCAACGAAGGGTGAGCACCCCTTGCTTTAGAAACGGCTAGACCGCGCGGCGGGGGTAGGGGCGGGGTGTTTGGGAACGGAAGATAACTGGGAGAAAACATCATCGTCCTCACCTAGAATTCCTTTGCATGAAATACACTGTTGTTTAAGCTAATTTGCAAAAGTGACAGCCCCACGATTTACTTTTGAAATATCAAGGCGAGCAAACAGTGTTAGTTAATTTAGTCAGAGTATCGCTCTTGGTAAGTGTTTGCCCACAGGAAGCCTTGATTCGAAAAGTCCACGCAAACAAAAACAGAGGTTGAATTTGTGCGCTCCGTTCAGGAACAAAAATCAGAACCTCTAAGTAACTAGATGCCATGTCCGCTTCTCTACCACAAAAGTGACATACCCTTCAAGTTAGTAACAAATACCTCATTTATATTACACCATATTATAACGTGAGGCCCACAACATACGTGTTCAGCTGACATCTTTCTTCAAAAGTTCCATCGCCTTGTTCGCTACATATATATTTTGATACCTTTGAGTTCTGCACTACTGCATAAAAGTGTAATCCATACGTATACTCAAACACGGTACGTTTTCGTTACTAGCCCATCTTCTGTGCATGGCTTTCTCGTAGTCAAAAAGTCAAAGCGTTATGCCATTGACTGGGCTCAGGTGGTTAGTTACTTGACCTGGGACTAAGGGGTACCTGGTTCGACACCCATATACGGCAGTCAGAAATAGGCCACTAAAGTGACGAATAATCATACGTAAAAATTGTGTCTGCCCTACCCAAATGGGTATGTGATAGTTGGGTGGATTTTGTGGGTGCCCGAAAAAGCCCCATAGTGTAATGAGAGGTGCGGAACCAGGTCCCAAAAAGGGATGGATAGCTAGCTACCAGCATTCCATTCTAGAGAAAGCTTCCTCGTAGCGCGTGGGTTCCGGTAGCTAAAATTTCAAAGCTTTATGTGCACATTGCACGACAACCTTGTTGCAATTTGTGGTAAGTCCGTACTAGGATGCAAAATTCAAATTTTCTCAAGTATTAAATAGTTAGTGTAGCTCATTGGATGTGGATCAAAAAATGTAGCTAGCTACAAATCTAATAATGAAGCTTCTATTTGTGTACACTGACTCAGATATGATATTTGATCAGGTATCAGATGGTCCTCATAATTATTATATGTCACGGCTCTCCAACACGGTTCCTTTTCTGAGTCCGAAAGACAATAGTACAATAGTGTCAGTGTTTACAGTACTAAGTTAGACAACCAAAGTTATATATTGTCAAAATTCACTTGTACTGATCTGACCTTTGTCATCGCAGGTTTTTGTGATTCAAATTGTAATTCAATGCTGCTACGCAAAAATAACAATCGAATCCTCTTCTATTGTTCCTCAAGCTTTTGGTGCTTTAAGTGCCAGCTCTTGAAAAATCCAATGCGTCCGATTGGATGGTCTGAACCCGAATGGATTCCAGGATACACGTCTAATCCTGGCAGCTGATGCGCGCAAACATTATGCCTAGTTTGCGGTAGCAATGGTGTGACATTTGAAGCAAGAGCGTCATAGTCCTATGTATTGGTGCAAACGCAAGATACTTAATGCTAATGCTTGCGAATTTGAACTACAACATCCGACAGCTAAAGCCAGGGCGGCCGTGTAATCATTCAGAAGGCTTCTCAGAGATCCAATTATTTTATTTCAAATTCCTAACTCTGCTTACGCGTTGCCAGATTTTCCTTGGTTGGAAGCCACAATGCATTAAACATGGTTTTATAACCCAGGCTTCATATGCACGATGTATTAGTACTGTAGGGAAAGATCTACTTACTTCATTAATTAACTTAACGAGATATTATAAATAATTTAGTGCTCAATTTTGACTTCTTATGTACTGCAAGAATAGACGTATTTCTTCACCAAGAGCTGGTCACTGTACGCGAGTGTGGCTCTGACAAGAAATCGCTTAGCAACGCTGACACCACTTCAAACTTGACACATGGATCACATCCAGATCGATATGAAATATCCTTGGCGGCACGCAGGAGAAGATTCACGAATGACTCTAGTCGTTTTTCACGGTTGCGAACTAGTACGTCACGCAAGCCTGTAGCTATAGCCCAGTTGCCGTTTGGAAATCGAGACGGAAATACACGTGACGTCACGATTTCTCGCACGCGCGAACAGTAAGGACACCATTGTGAGTGCGACTTGTCGCTAGGTACTGCCACCGCCTCACGAATGCGCTTGCGTAGCGAACGGAACGACGAGTACCGGTGTTCCACTTGAAAATCGGGGCTATGAATTTCTCTCTCAAGCACACTATTTCTCTGCGCCGACTTGGTCACAAGCACAGTCGCATTTTGACTTAGTAGACCCCTTGGTGCTGACTGCAGAAACACGTCAAGCACATACATTGTCACGTGCTCTTTATAGTCGTAAGTCTTGCTCATCTGCACGTGATGCACATTATTAAGCGCCACAGCTACTTTTGCGCGAGACAATTGGGAGAGTCGCATGCTGTCCAAGTTGAAGAGCTCGGACGGCGTGTCTGTCGTGACATTCATTTCGCTTGGTGGGCTTAATTATTTTTGGGAAATACGCTTCTGGCTACTTTTTGTTTGTCACGTCTGTCTCTATATGCGGTTTGTTTACTGTATGAGACGAAGGGTGCAAGCTTGAAGATTGTTCCACCACTGGCTGACGAGTTGTTTGACGAAAGATCAAGCGTGTTGGAGTTTTCGACGCTGGCGAGCGACTAATGGTGACGATCGAGTAATGGCGACGATCGACGGCACTCAATTTTCTACATTTAGATGTAGGTCGTCGGTAGGTATGAATAAAATAGGAGCGTGCACCACGAAGTATTACGACACACCGACTGTCGACAGATTGCTATTCAGCTGCTGGGTAAGCGCCGGGTCAGCTATTGCTCTATTCATAACTTAGCTAAACCCTCAAATCTATCATCATGCGTCTATTTGTGTCATTTAAGACGATATAATGTAATTTATTTTGAAAGCCCGTACCTTTCTATATCAAGCGTGTAATGTCTAATTTTGCTTTTATAAACTGACAAGTTTTAAAGATCTATGTAATCAAGACGAGGAATTGGAACTTTTCGTTTTGGGCTCGTTGGTTTTTTTACTGAGATATTGGTTGAATTTGCATCATTATGTTTATCTTGCAACGCCCACACTTCAAATATCAAGGTGGTGATATCTTTGAATAGTTTGAACGAGAATATGCTATTGATGCTGGAAATATTTAAGAGACGCGGGATCCGGTTCGCTTCCTCAGTACATGCAAAGCACTTACCATTATTTGATAAAATCATCGCATGTGCGTGGCTCTGACCTGGGTGCATTAGTTCTGGGAAATATTTGCTATCGAAGCTGCTTGTTCAGCCAGCTTGGCAGCTTTATTTAGTTCATCGATGTTAGTATTTGAATATACACAATTTTAAGTAGCTCGAGTTTGAAGCTTGAACATCAGTCTTCAGAAGCTGCTGGTCTGAAAGTCTCAAGGCATCGGATCGCAAGCGGTCGTTAGTCTAGCGCTAAACTGGACTCTATAGAGTAGGCTGATGTTCAGATCGCAATCTCAGACGTTTGGCTAAATCATTGACCCATACATTCGAGAGATTTACGTTTCATCGACGAGTCGGTGTCAGAAGTGCAGTTCGCGTGGCTAGTGATAAAATGTAACGACATCTTTCAGCGCCGCGCTGTTTTCTGGAGTTAGAATCTAGAGTTATCCGTCAACATTGTTCTTTCATCACTCCTTATAATGGACATTTGATCCCGAAGACGCGTCAGGATGTACTAAACTCCCTTTTCTTGCTGTACGAGTGACTTCGAGATCAAGAACGCGGTGATGACAGATACGAAGGGATCTGAGTTTGTGTTGGCACCAAGAACTGTTTAAGTACGAAATTTCGGAAATGGAAGTCTTGCTGAAAGCCATAGGGAGCCTGGTGCTGACAGCGTGTTGAATGACCTCACAAAAACTCGTTTTAACTATGCAGATTGTAGTTTGAACATACAGCAACAGACCGGAACTTCGTCTGATCGTTTGACAGGAGTTTGTAAACGCGTTTGTTCAGATATGTTACCATAATGAACTGGGTAGCGATGAGCGTGGATATCAACAGATGAATTTTCGCGAAAGTCCGTAATTTTGTAGCGAGGATACATCGTGTACATGTACCATCATTAGTTTGGAATCGCGGGTAACATCGTCAGAAACAGACATTATTGGGTTTAACAATCAGTGATACTTGAAAACAGATAATATTTTTATGAGAGCTTATATATATTGACATGGCAATCAGCGATGCGATCGACGCATCGATTAGTGAGCCGCGTCATAAAAAATTCCTCTCTCTTATCGATGTAGTAGTGAGGCTTCCATACATAGAGAGAGATTGACCACCAAGTAATGAATGTGAGATCCTCTGTAAAGCGAGGTGTCAAATACATTAATCGGGAACTTTGATCGGCCAAGCTCAATGTTTGATTTGAGAAGGCAATACAAGTATTCGTCTGTGGTGACATTGGCCACCATTAAAGTTATAAGACATGAAGATCACCACATCTCGAACTAATTGTTTTAATTCCGAGTCATCTTTAAGCGGTACCAACAGCTCCACCAATTATGCAGACACTAAAAGCGAGGGTAGAATTATAAAAAGTAAAACATAATTATAAAGATTATTTTGGCTACTTTTTATAATACTCTTTGATTTGCTCCCGATTCGCCACCTGATGACAGTCAGTGAAACCAACATCTCTGCACTGGTTGACTAAATTAATGCTTGCTCGGCGCAAGATGCGAAGCATCACTCTGTTGCACTTGGTATCACTTGTTGGTCAATCCGACGACCGAGTCAGAATTATGATGTATCCTCTGAAAGGATAAAATAATTTTTACAAATTATCTCCCAGATGTATCAACCCATATTCAATTATAGTTGGTCGCGACGGGCTACTGCAAGAGACACGGAGACGTTATCGCTCACCTCATTGGCTATGAATATACTCTAGTGAGAATTCTTGAGGAACGTCTACATTAACCGTCGAAAAATCACAAGGATTTAATGGATCAGTACCACACATCACGAGCTCTAATTCACGACTAATTTTGTAGGGCTCGGGCAACAAACAGCTAGGGCTCAAAGTATGGATTTTTCTTTCACCAGCTACGGGAATGCGCGTAAACATCTCAGACATCGCCGACTTCTACAGAGCTATGAAGCCATTCAAAAGCAAGACCCAAATCAATCTGCTTGGTATACAATACGTTGACATTGTAACGGGGTTACACGTACTTTTGTATGAGAGGGCGGGTCGCACAAGATGGTGCGACCGTACATAGGTGTGTATTACACAAGTTAGCGTAATCACATAGTAGTGTGGCTACACCGTAACAAGAAGCGATTGCCAGTAATAACGTATATTAATATATTAATTAGGTTTTGTTATATTAGAAAAACCTAGTAAAACAATCAAATACAATCCAATTGGAACGGAAAAGTACCTATACCTTGGTTAAGAATTTCAGAACTCTTGGAGGCGGTGGATTGCTATCGGCTGCACTCGTACTGATTCTTGAAAAGAACGTAAGGTCGGTGACCTTAGCTTAGCTTATTCTAAGCAAAGAATTACGGCAGCCCCACAGCACTTGGCAGCAATAGTTATCAATCTGCGCCCGAGTCGTTGCGACTGATCCGCTGTGAGGATGGATGGATACTCCTATTTGACCCAGAGTATGCAGAACGGGCTTAATAAGCTGATGTCCCTGCTGGGCCCTGGGGGCGTGGAGCACCTTTTTGCGCAAGGGCCCGAGGCCATATGCGTGCGCCTAAAGGCATTTTTAAGATATCTAAATGCTCTGTTAGAGCTCTTACACCAGTAGTAAACGCAGTCAATATCGACTGCGTTTATGACACCACCGTCGACGACGGATGATTTCTTTCGACCCAGGCCGCTCCCGGTGAGCGCTAAGAACTTCGAGAGTAAGGATGGAGAGAATCTCCTGCTCTGGGTGGGAGAGGCCAAGATGGCTATGGCATCCTCCATGCACCAGAACGAGTAACAGCGCATGGCGCTAGCTCCAAGCTCGGAAGCCGAGCGTGAGAATGGGCACTAACGTGTGGTGCTTCGGTTGAGGCTTGCGCTCCCCTCCTGGAAGGAGCTGAAGCGTCAGCTTTTGTGAGTGTTCTCGCCGCCTATTCAGGCCTATCGCGCGAGATCGCGATTCCTTGCTGTCCAAAAGAGCAAGAAGGAATTGGTGGGCTTTGTGCAAGGGTTGCAAACTCTCATTGCCGGCAGCCGACCCTCTCCCCGAAGCGGTCGCACTGACCGCCTTTATGGAGGGCCTCCGCACTGGCGTGGCCAGAATGGAAGCCCTCCGCGTGCATCCCTTTTCTTTTGTAGAAGCGGTGAATATGGTATTGAATCCCGAATTCAACTTCAAGTCTGCACGACTTGGTTGGAATGCACACTCTCAGTGCAGCGGGGCTGCCGAAGCTTAGCCCTTGAGGAAGCGTAATTAAGGTCACCGACCTTTCGTTCTATACTTAGAACAAGAATGAGTAGTTATTACCTTACCTAAGGCTAATAAGTTCTTCCGTTTAAAGTCTAAAACAGATTTCTATTTTTTATTCTAATTTTTACAGTTTAGATTTTCCTAATTATACTAAATATATATAGTAAAACCTAAATACATGCGTAACTACTGGCTACCTGGACCCGTACCGTAATTTTGTTTGGGTGTGGTCACACCATGCACATCTCGTGTGACACACACCCCTGTTACCAGGGTACGTGTAACCCCGTTACACACTCCCCCATTAAGATTGAGAATATTTACAGTTCCAATCGAGTATTGT